AAAAAAAAAATCATAATCCATGTCATTTTCCAAAGGGAAAAATAGTGAATGGATCACAAAACAGATTGGCTGTTAATATGTTTGATTTTATATAAAAGACATAGCTGAGCAATCATATACCTCCATAGTTCATTCTAAATCAAAGATGAAGTACCAAGACCTGTAGATTAACAACCTCATACAACTATGTGAAGCGGAGTTGTGTTCCCAAATCTAACCACAATCAACAATAAGCAATATCTAAAGTACTAAAATTTGAACCAAACTGTAAACCTTTGTACATTTCATATATACCTAGTGAGTCCAAGGAGTGTCGTGAATTAAAGGAAGGAAAAAAGGTATAACTTGGAAACTTGAAAAAAATTAAAAGGATTAATCATTAACAGTTAAACAATAATGGGGAGCTCTGCTTGTTCACTTTTCTATCCCTATAATAGACATTCAAAAGCTATAAAATCTGAGAAAAATACATCTTGAGATACCCAGGGAACGTTGATGGGATTTAAAATTCTGTAATTTATTAAGGTCAAGAAAACATGGAGAAAGTGCATGGACTTAATGATATGACGAGCAAAGATAAACATTCTGAGATATCTTAAGCTTGATAACCCTTCTGTCTCTTTCTCTTAGAATGATCGGATCAAAGAGACATAATATGAACCATAGGGAGTGAAAAAGAGACTCACAGAGGCAGTATCTTGCAGCCAAATTCATAGAAATATGGACACCGAGATCTAAGATCCACACATGCAGCATCTGCTTGGATCTCCAGCCTTGTTCTGGCATTAAAAAGCATCATCAGGAATAAATGAAGGGATCTATAAACCAAAATAAACCTTTAAAAAAAAAAAAAGGTTCAAGTTAGTTCTTGTACGTACAAATGGGCTAACACTTAACTAGTGGTCATTTCTCAAGTCTTATTCCTGGGTTACCACCACCTAACTCAACCCTTTTCCGGTACAGATTCTTCAAGTAGTCAAACAAAGGAACTTGACCTAAAATTAGTTTTAAAACTTCAACTATCTACATTCTTTCAGAGTACTTAGAATGTGTTCGTTGCATTTCTCTTTACAATAAATTGTTATTCTTGGTTTTGCCTCTATTGTGTAGCTTGGCTGTAAATAAATCGGAAAGGTTTCCCCTTACCAATTATTACCATGACTGTTACTAATGAAACTTTTGGCTATATAAAAAAATAATAATTTTTTATCCCTTAATTCATTTTATTTGCATATCATATAAGTTAAATTTATAATCTCTTATTTTTTTTAAAAAAAATTATTATTAATTTATTTAAATCGTTAACAACAATCCTAATAATTTATAATCAACACTTATCAAAAAAAAAAAAAAAATCATCATAATAAGTAACCTAAACCTTCAAACGCAATGTCACTTCTTCGCAATTAATCTTTTCTTTATTCTTTTCTTTTCTATTGTATGTATGCTTAACAAGAAAAGCATAATACCATAATGGCTGATTATTTTTATAATAAGGTAATATTTAGAGTGAATTTGTAGTTTACATGCATCAGAATAATTTTTTCATTTTTAACTTTGGCATATTAATCTAAAATTAGTTTGACATTAAGATAATATATATATATAGTTTGACATTGCTAGTTACTGGTCCTTTTATAAATTGCATAATACACCTCTAAAGGGCATGTAATTACCAAAAATAATGTTAAAAAAATCCCAAATCCAAACATTTTTATATGGCTGGTGTGTGACCATATTGATATTATTATTATTATTATTATTTTGAACATTTTGTTATGAGGCCGGCTTGAATCGTTGTCCTGGGAGAGGGACATGAACTTTACAAGCGTGACTAGAGCCACTTGATCCGAAGGGTCAGGTTCATTATTATTATTATTATTATTATTATTATTATTATTATATATAAAATAAATGTGTATATCAAATACCAGATCATGTTGCTGAAACAACGCTACAACTTCTCCCGACCACGCAAGAACACAATAAATCAGCCATACGTGTCTTTACCCTTGGAAACCTTTATTTAGCTAGAAAGGAAACAAAACTAAACAAAAAGTTTCTCAGCAATTGAAGAGAAATGACAATTTGGATCTTGTATGACTCATAGGTGATGGTTGACCCAAATTCCTGCCATTTTCATGCCCAAAAGGTGTGCTAATTATACTTATATATATATAATATTCACAATTAAGGTGTTTTTATGTTAATTTTTATATATTTTAAGATTAATTCATCTAAATGATATTAAGGATGAACTCTTCACATCAACTTGATATATTTATAGAAATTAATTTTTTAAAATAATTGTTTCAATATTAAAACACTAAACTAGATTTATAAAATGATATTTATTTGTTAATAAATTTAACTTTTTGAAGTTAAGGTGTGTTTAATAAGCAAAGAGGAAAAGATAAGCTATATCCCTACAGAAAATTTGTTTTTAGATCTTGTTTGATCTCGCGTCAACTTTTTTAAAATTGCCTTTTACGTAAGAAATTTTATAAAATTAATAAATTATAAATGATTGTGGCTTAATAGTTAAAAAAATAAAATTTAAAAAAAATGATAATTAAGTTTAAAATTTTGAGAGTTTATAATTTTATAATATAAATTATAAAACTAAGAACATTGAATGGGAGAGGGCATGTTCCTATTTATAAATACACTACATAAAATACTGCATTTGACTTAACCTTTGTTTTTGACAAGTATAAAGTACAAATCCATCATATTCAAAATTATCCTATCTACAAATCCTAATTAGTCTGTCCGTGTCCGTGTCCGTGTCCGTGTGTAGGACGTGTATTCCCCAAATTAATCCACACTTTATTTTCTTCATGTTTTTTTTATTATTAACATTTTAATATTTAAAAATCATATTAAATTTTAACTAATTCAAAATTAAATCACATTCAATTTTATAAAAAAAAAAACCTATCTCAATATTTTTTTTTATTTATAAAATTTAAATTCAAAATTTTATTTTAAAAAAATTAAATCATTTCATTTAAATTAACAGATCGTTAATATTTTCTCCATTCATAAAATGCTTAAGCAAACAGCCACGCCAAGACTTTATCTCTTTGGTCTTTCTCGGTATGATTTTTAAAACCTACCACGTAATTTCTTTCATCACCAATTAATAAATTTATGTCCTCTCTGAATTTTCAAATATTTTGTCATTTTAATCATTTCTAGAATTCTTCTATTACAAGTCTTCATTTAATTTTTTTAGGCTTATAGAATTAGGTGAATTGTTAATTAAGCTAAGGTTCATACGTCATATGTGATGTCTGCTATATAAATCTAGAAGCCACCATATCTCCCTCTGTGCCTATGATTTTATTTTATTTTTTGCTTTTTTGAATTTCTTGTTCAACAAGGAAAAACATTATTGCTTTTAAATGATTTACAATTTGATAACGGCATTCAAATCTCAACTAGAAAGTTAGGGGATACACCTTATTATAAATGTAAAATTATTGAGTTACAAGATTTAGGTATTGAAAAAAATATTATATTGAATGAAATATAAAAATAAAAAAATATTATGCAATTTAAATTATTTTAATTTATATAATTTTAATAATTAGATAGGATTAAATTTTTTAATATTAAAAATTTCCTCTTACATTCAACAAATTTTATATATTACGAAACTCATGTAAAAATGTGACACCACCACATGAAAATCGTTGCTTGACGGTTTCACAGGGATATAATAACACATGAATCTCATTTTCTGTCATTATTTTCCTTTATCATTCATGAAATCTATTAAAAACAAAAATAGTGTCCTCTTTGGTCTAAACAACTGATAAAAAGGCCAATTTTGATAAAATAAAAAAATTAACTATTCTCCATGCTTAATTCATTAAAAATAATTTTTAGTTCAAATTCACCGTTTTTTTTTTTTTTTGGCCAATTCACATCGCAAAAAGACATTTTTGTAAATAAAACCGTGTTGTGATTCTGCAAATTTCACATGCATCACCCTCCTATCTCCCATGCAGTTTTAAGTTTAGTTTATTTCTTTTTTCAAAAAAAATTTTTTTCAGTTGTATAATTGTAATCATTGATAGACTTTCTTTTAGTTATTAAAGGTAACTATAAATTAATATGCATTTATTCATATAATATTATTTTATATAATAATTTTTGTACCATCATAAAATTAATATTATATGATGAATATCTTATTTTTACCATTTAAATTACAAAATATAGATAATTGTAAAGGAAAATACTTTATTTAATGAGTTTTATTATATAATTTGATACAATTCAAACTAAATAATAATTTTTTGTTATATAATAATTATTACCATAAGATCAAAAGAGAAATAAATTATGTAACTATCAATGATCTTAAGAATTCCCAATCAATTACACAAACCTTGAGACGGAAATACAATGTCCAATGTCCTATTACATGGAATTCATTCACCATTCCTCGCATAAATTAAAAGATATCATTATAATTACAAATAATGTGTTGACAAATCTTGAATTAATTACTAGTAATTTTTACCAAAGATTCTCGAGGACAAATTGTTGCATGTGCTCACATGATCTAAAAATCGGTATGTTCCCCATACAAGCATTGGTGATGATATGTATATTGTAACAACTTTTGTTTTTCTTTTTTGTATGAACCGCTTGGTATCCAAAAGTTTATTAGGTCATAAACTAATTTAAATTCGAGTCGGGCAAAACTCAATATACAATAAAACTCTCCCTCACGAGTTTTTATAGAATTACATTCTCAAATTTTGAAACCAATATCTCTGGTTAAACTATAAGAGTTCCCTGCCAACTCATCTACCCGCTCGTGGGTTGTAACAACTTTTGTTAAAAAAGAATAAAAAAAAAAAAAGAAGAAAAAACTCAAAAGAAAGTTAATTTAAGTATGGGAAAAACATTTGGCTATTAGCTATATATTAGGTGTTAGCCAAGAGCTAAGAGTAGCTAACATCTAACTTAAAACGAGTCCATGAAAATGTTTTTTCAAACCCTAAATAATTATAGAAGGGGAAAAGAATTGTACAATATAAGCCAAACCAAATATATCAAAAAACAAAAAAGTTAATTTAAGCCTATTAAGCTTTAATCACAGTAAGGAAAATGATTTATTTATCGTTTTTATGCATAAATATTTTCATATAATTTTATATTATTTTATTTAAAAATTAACATTTTTTATTCATTTAATAATATATAAAAATTATTTAAAAAATGTATAAAAACAAATTGTTGGCATATTGTCACTCCTAATAATAATACCCAACAAATAGCGAAGGTAGGGAGGCTCGGCATCCCAAGCCCCTCTTATGAAAAAATATCAATTTAGTCCACTGGTTTTTATTTTTATTATTTTTATCTTTAAAATTTTATTTATTTTATATACTTCCAATCAAGTTATTTACTAGTATTTCATTTTTGTCACCCCTCAAACTTTTTTTAGCCCCTGTAGCCAATGCGAATGTATCTGCACACATGTCAAGATCTGGAGCTAAAATTTATGTCTTTTCCTCTTTTTTTTTTTTTTTTTTACCGCCTCGTGATATAAGGAATAGAAAGAAACTAAATACATTTCCAAAAAAAAAAAAAAAAAAGGAGTGTTCAAATTCTTTTGCTCCTTGTATAAATTTACTTTCTACATTGCTAATTTTAAATACAAAAAACTTTGCTAATTCTCCTAAACCTTCACGTGAAACTTAGATTTTCATTCGAGTTGGGATGGGAGTAGATTTTTAGTATAAGACTTGAAATTGAAAATTCATTGAGAAGTTTGATAAACCCATTATAAATAATTTCTCCCAATTCTTAACTCTGTTTTTGGGAAACAAACTAAAAATATTAATATTAGTGAGAGATATTTTAACATATATTTTTAAAATATTTGTTAAGTTTTATTAAATGTAGTATTTGTAAATAATTTTACATAAATTTTTATATAAAATTAATGAGATTTAAGCCTATTCTTAGATCATAGATTAGACAAGTCCTATTAGCAAAAAAAAAAAGAAAAAGTCTTACAAACCAACCAAGCTATAGATTGCTTTTGATTTAAGAAAAATTAGCAAATTTATCATTTTATTATCCCACCAATAAAATCATATGAATAAAAGTTTAATAGAGTTTATACTTATTGAATAATAAAATTTATATTTTTCTAACATATTAAAGAGTTAACTGTTTAATATATAGATGTTTAAACTTATAATCTTGACTTCAAATCAAAATTTTAAGTTAGTGGATACTAATTTAATAAGTATTTGTTAGTTTAATTAAATCTTTATGAACCTAATCACAAGTTAAAAAACCAAATCATTGTCCTATATTACAAATGGATTCAGATAAAACAACTTCTATCAAATGGAAACAGGTTCATATCTAGACAAAACACTGTGTAAAAATGAAGTAAAAAAGGTGTCGCTAGTTGTCGTTTCAATGGCATAAATATATGCATTGCCGTCAGTTAGAATCCTTCAATTTTCCAATTGACCCGTTACTTCTGCGCGTAAAGTTCACAGTCTCTGTCATCACTTGCCTCAGCACCCAAGTCCAGTCAAAACATATATCGAACCTCCACGCACGCCTCTGCGCCTTCGTCGTCATTTTCATTGCTTTTTCTTCTCCTCAACTCTTCCCACTCCTTTTAAGCCATTTTCAGAACTCAAGACTCTTCGAATCAAAACAAAAAAGACATGGGTTTTGTGAAAGAGGAGAAATTGAGAAAAGTATGGCGAGGTTTGAAGACTCTGTTTTTCTTGATCACCATGGTCATTTCATTTCTCCTGTTCTCTGCCCCCTTCCTTCTTGCTATTGCCGATACCCTGTTACCTTCTGCTTTGCTTTCTGCTTCTCTTTCTCCTTCGTCCCTGTCCCTGGGAACGCTCTCCTCCCATTTTAATAATTACGATTTTCGGTATTCCCTCATTGATATACCTCTCATCTCTATCATAAGATCATCCGTTATACTCTGTAAGTACGACATTTAAGCATGAAATTCGTCTGGGTATTCATTGGATTGCTTTGTTTTTAGCAGGGGATTGATGGGTTTATATTATTCTTTCTTGTTTATTGCAGGTGTATATAGCCTTTGCGACGGACCGAGGCTTTCGAAAGGGCCTTACTTGGGGATTGCGATGATTTGTTCTGTCCTGTCTCTGATTTTCGTTACGATAAAAGCTTCATTTGTGTTCAGCTCAAGTGTTTATCGAGAAGGGTATGTCAGAGCCGTGGAGATTGCCCTGTTCGTGTGTTCCCTCGCCTTGGCCGTCGGGCATATCTTGGTTGCCTACAGAACAAGCTGCCGAGCGAGAAGAAAGCTACTTGTATATAAAATCGACATTGAAAATGTAAGTCCCTCCAGTTCTTTTTGCCAATCGAATCAATGAAATCAAAAAATTAGGAAATGAAGCTGCAATTAATCATCCTGCCCCACATCTGTTTGATGAAAAGCCAACGTGTGGAATATTTGTTTTTCTAGAAGGTCAACTGTTCCTTGGTTTTCAATTAGCACAAGGAAATTTGTGTGGTAATGATTTCGCAGTGAGGAAGGCTCAGCCTGAGAATGACCTCAGAATCCGTTTCCCTGTGGTTGAGACTTCGTCATTCTTTTCTTATACATGAACTTGAGCCCTGCATTCGCATTTAACTGAACACTTCTAATTGTTCATAGAATTCACATTGAAATATTTTCCACTTTTCTAGATAGTACTGAATTTTTTAGGAGGCTTGTGAAGTAATTCTCATCATTCTTTTCTTTCTGTTTACTTTTCTTTCTGGTCTACGTTTTCCTTCTCCACCTAAGCAAAAGTCATAATCATACAAGAAATATTGCATCAATAGAATCTGGGATGAGCCGCCGCCTACAGAGGTGGGTCAATGCTTGGCTTTTATAATTGAACTCATTGCTATAACTCTTCCCAATTTCTAGACTGTTTGAAAATTTGAGTATTAAACTTTGCCAAACAATTGAAACTTATTAGTTCTAACTTTCAAAACTTTGATTTTCGGGTTTAAATCAGAAGTTAAAGCCTTCAAGGTCCAAACTTTGATTGTATTTCGTATTCTGCTACTTTTCCTCTGGTTGGTTTATCTGGTTGACTAATTAGGATTATTCTCGAGAGGGAGTCTAGTTGTCTACGATTCTTAATTCCCTAGGCTTGGTGAGAATTGTATTCCCTAATCAGCTTACCTATGAATGTGGTCCACTTCTACATTCCATCTTCTAGCAATAATGCTTTTACAAAACTAACATCAGCCCTTTATTCTGTTCCCCACTGCAGTTTCCAGAAGGAAAAACTTTTGTAGAGGGTGTTGCTAAAAAGATCTGTTTATACGATGATAATTTACAGGTTTCAGCTTGCAAAAATGGGTTTCCAAGATATCAGAAAAAGCTCCAAGAAGAAAGAGTGAAGTAAATACCAACAGCAAAATTGAGAAATTTTCAAACCTAATATGGTTGATGATGTGGTTCATTGCGTCCTTCAATTACAAATTTCAGGTAATTACTAACCTAGTGACCTTTGTCTTTTCATAAACCAACAAAAAACCAGTTTTACGTCATCATCCATTTACTTCCTGAACAAATCAGATGGATAATGGCCGATGATGTGGAAACCATAAATCAATCTCATATTTATCATGTTTATCAATCTCAAGTCACTAATCTAAACTGTCCTGATGGTTTTATTCGGTGCAGATTTATGCAAAGAGAAACTGTGTCTTGAAGACCAAAGTAGTTAACCAGATGAAGACCATTTTTGTTTAGCATCAGAGAGCAGGTGTGATTATTTGTTGAAAACAGGTTAGAATTATTTGGTCTGTATTACTTGGAGAAATTGTGGTAGGTGGCTTTGTATCTATTGGTGTGGAGGCTCTGATTTCAGAAAACACCCAACATTTGGTTTGTGGTGCAGAGTTTGTATTGTACAGAAAATATTCAAAAGAAATTGGCCAAAGCCCTTTTTATAAAATTCTTATGGGAAATTTGGTGATCACCCCAATTTCAATAAGCGATGGGATGAAATTGGTCAACCATGTCTTTAATCTAGTCCAACCAAGCCAAACTCATGGCAAAACGGTCATGTAATTATAATTATGTCTAGGTTAATGAACTGCCTAATCTGATTAAATTACTGTTGATCCAATGAATTAATGTATAATATATAACAAATTACTGTATAATCCAATAAAGATTTGTCTAACCTGTGAAACTCATTGCCTAGGGCTGGTTTGGTGCCATTAGATCGACAAAAGAATTTGAGGAATATTTTGCCCCACTACCCAAGATTCGTTTGCCTGATGGTAGGTGATTAATGACACTTAATTTAGTCAATTCCCACTTTCTTAGAAAATTTACTATGACTAATAATAAGGAACAAAGGGAGTATTTTATTAGGATTTCACGCAGGAAGGAATTTCAGTAAACAATGAGGTGTAGGATAATCACCATTTGGCAACTAGCTTTCCAAGTTTATTTTCCATGATTCTTTTGCTGGCAACCATACATAGCTTTAGCCCTTGGCTTCTATTTTTTGTTTTTTTTTTTACTTCTGAATGGACTATACAATAGGGATAGCCTTTTCCTTTTTCTAAATCCTTTCACACCTGACTCAAAATTTAAATTTAAAATCTCTAACTTGAAATCTTTAATTTAGAATTTCAAACTCTTAATCATTGAGTCACCCCTTTTGAGGTCCTTAACCTCTATTTAAATCAATGGATTTAGAGGGAGAAAAGAGAAAAGTGAGAGCAAGATGTCTTTCTTATCATTCTTGTTTTTCTTTGTTAATGAAAAGGGAGGGAGACAAAGGAGTAGTAGAGCCCCTTCTATTCCTTTGTTTCCAATGCTTCAAAATTAAAAGGAATGCAAAG